ATTTCTTCGGAGTGACATGAATCCATCCTTCAACTTCGCTTGACTCGGACCATGCCCCCAGCAGTTGAGGTGAAAACTTCGAGTCGGAAGAGCCAGAAGTGATGGTGGTATAGTTTGACTTCACTATATCGTCAAGATCTAGCTCGATGATTCCTTTCTAAGCCAGCTTCATGATGAGATCTTTCAGCACGAAGCACTTTTTTGTCAGATGGCTGATGAAGCGGTGGAATTTACAGTATCTTGGACTGTCGGTACGATTCATCTCTTCCGGCTGTTTGCACTCAGGCAGGTCGATCACATTTTTGTCCAACAGGTCGTCCAGCGTGGCAACCACATTAGAATCGGGGAATGGATAAGTCTTCTCCTCAAGCTCCTTCAAAGTGCATCTACGCCTCTCTTAATCATGAAAAGCTTCGGTTTGAATCGCCTTGCCTCGTGTAGAGACTTTGACGAGAGTTGTGTTGAGTGTCATTGTTTCCTTGGTATCTTTCCACGCAGTCTTCTCCACCTTTGGCCCAACAACTTTGTCAGTCTTGTAGTCAGAGATCGGTTCCTTCTTCCCATGATGGGCGATGCTCAACTCCATGTCATGGGCGCGGGTGGCTAGCTCTTCGAAGGTCCGTGGTTTGATGACTTGAAGGATGTATTGCAAACCTGATAAGCTCATATTTATCTATATTTTACATCAAATTCACTTGTCTTTTCTTAGTTAGTCCTTATATTTTTGAGCTATTTACTTTGTTTTTGTGTTTTGTAGAATTTGTCAAGCAAATAAAAGAAAAATAGCACAAGTGGGATTTTAAGTAACAAATTCGTCAAAACTGCCTGTGCAGGTCAGCTGACTTTGGAAGCAAGTTGCGAACAGTTCAGAATGAATTAGAGAATGAGCCTTATATGCTTGGAAAGCTACGGATGTCTATTTTCTGGAGCATTTCGCGGATTGTTAATATCTTTTTTCTAGAAGAAGTTATGGCTGTTTTAACACTGAAAGGTTTCCAAGACGCTGAGCAGTTTGTAACTGCATTGAAGGCAATAAATCCAATAAAACTAGCAGCCAAAACTGATGAAGCCAAGAACAAGTCAGCTGACACCTCTTCAAATATCAGATGAAATGGAATTAAAGATGAGGATTAAGTGGGAGTAATTGGCATAAAGGTTGCCCAAAAAGTTACAATTGTTTTACCATTTCCTCTCACTTATTGTCATCACTAAATGACTGTTAGTGGGGTGAGTTATGGAGCAGAAATGGGGCAGCAAGCATGGGCATAGGCTGCAGGTTGCAGCAGCAAAAGAGAGTTCTTTAGAGGAAAAAAAAATAGAAAAAAAGGAAGGAAATGAAGGAAAAAAGGCAAGGCTGCTGCGTTGAGAAAGGAAGGAAAGGAAGGAGGAAATCTTGGCATTCTCTTCTCTCGGTTTTATCTTCTCAAACTCATGTCTTTCTTTTGGTTTATTTTGAGAACTATGTGTAACTAATTTTTTAGAAGTTAGGGGCTGTTTTGAAGCCCCGAATATGATTGCAATTTTGTTATGACATTTCGTTGAATTACTTTTATGAATGGATGAAACTTGGTTCACTACTTGTCTCATTGATGAATTCTTTATTTGTTTTCTATGGATGCATACATAGTAAGCATATCTAGGATTCTAATGCTATGAATATGTGTGTGTCTGCCCTTGTCGAATGAGGACCTGCATATGTTCTAAAGTAGTACTTGTTAATTGCGATTAATATGTGAACCAATTTCTAGGATAAGTAAGACAACGCCAGTACTTACGATGCCTTGTGATGACTCAAACTCTTTTCGTTCGTAATGATTTCTACTTGTTAAATCTATGAACACGCCATTCTAGATTGCATGCTAGGGACTAAGTTAAGTTGAAAACGCCATTCTCTTAACATACTACGTAAGAAAGAGTAATAGGTTGAGTTCTAACATTGAGCCAACTTGAGCATCTTCATCCGGAAATAAAAGAAATTTGAATGAAACATAACATGTTTGCATGATTATTTGGTGGTGGATAGCAATACCCCTAACTCGTTTTCTTAATTTGTGAACTACTTAAAATTTGTTTCTATCCTGTTTTTGTTCGATTTAATTTAAATAGAAAATCAACTCCAAAAATCCCAAAAATTTGTGTGAGTGTAGCTTTGTGTGTCTAGTATCTGCATATAAAATTTCGTAGACTTTAGATAAGTATAAGTCGGTCTAATAATTATTTTTCGGTGTCTGGTCAGTAGGGACAACAACCCAGTTTTTGTGACATTTTAGGTAGTTAGATAAAACAATCTTCTGTGGGAAAGACTCTTATTTTCATATGCTACAATTGACAAATCTTAGTGTTAATAAGGAAAATCAATAGGACATTTGTGTGCTACTTTGTGGTGTGATTTTAATCCTATCAAAACCCCATTGCATGCATTGGATGCACATCTCGATTGAAGATGTCTCTGAGAGCCTGTCTTTGCAGTTAAGGCTTATAGTGCGCCATCTGTTGATGTAGTCAATGACTAGCTCGTCCCTCCACTGCTTTGTGCTCGTCAGCTCTAGCATGCTCACAGTGCGGCGGATGCTGTAGAAACGATTGAGGAATTCTCGCTCCAATTGCTCCCAGCTGTTGATGGATTCGGGCTCGAGGTCGGTGTACCAGTTGAAGGCGTTTCCTTTCAGCGAGCGCACAGACTGCTTGGCGAGGTAGTCCCCTTCGGTCCCTGCGTTGTTGCAAGTTTCAACGAAATGGGCGACATGCTGCTTCGGGTTTCCCTTTCTATCAAACTGCATAAACTTTGGTGGTTGATATCCTCTCGGCATCTTCAGGGCATCAATCTTCTTTGAATAAGGTTTCGAGTACAACCCGGAGGTATTTGAGCTCCTTTTAAACTGTGCCTTGACGGTGCTGACGATCATCTCTTGTAACTGCTTGATGCAGAGAGATCCCATGAGCGCCGCTGCTCTAGTTCCGGCTTTTTTTCAACCTTCTCTACTGGAGGCTCTTCTTCTTCGTCGCCACCTTTCTTGGAGTCAGAGCCGAATCCTGCATCATGCCGTGCCCCCAACTTATTGACGAGTGCCGTAATTTGCAAGTCTTTCTCTTCCACGGTCTTTGTGAGCTTTGCAATTGCTTCACTCATTTGAGCTAGCTGTTCTTCAATGGAGGTAACGTCGATGGTCATGACTTGTGCAACCATCATACGCGACTCTTCAGGCATCCAGGGTGTTGATGAAGGACCCCGTTGGCCGCTTTGGGATGTCATCTGATGTGCCTCAACGACATGCTTCGATGCCTCCAACGAGGTTAGGTTGATGACGGGCTTGCGTCTTTGATGCTCCACTTGCTCCCTCAGCGGCACCGACTTTGAAGTGGTTTGTTGAAGAGTAGTTGTGGTGCCAATGGATGCTCCGTTCATGGCGAAAGTGCTCAGGCTTATTCCCTTTGTGAGAACGACTTGTCATTTGTTTGATGCCATTGATTTTGGAAGTGTGCTTGAATTTCTTGAACGGAGAGGAGATGAGAGGTAGAGATTATCCCACCGGGCATGCCAAATTTGTAAACACGGAAATTCCTGAAACAAACGAGACAAGAACACGTGTGCAAAATAATATTTTGTATTAATGATTTAGGGTTTACAATCTCTCTCAAATTTGATCATCTTTCGATCTCCGTAAGGTGTTGATTTGTGGATTGTGATGCTGATCCAAGGGCCGTCGAGGCTTGATCTCGGATGAATGGTTGAAAGTTTCTTCAAGGGGGCTTTTTGGGCTTGATCATGAAGGTTGATGGATGAACGGATCTTCAAGGACTTTTGGGCTTGATCTTGAAGAACTATTGATGAACGAATCTTCAAGGGGCCTTTGAGGCTTGATCTTGATGAACAATTGATTGATGGATCTTCAAGGGCTTTTGGGCTTGATCTTGAAGAACTGTTGATGAACGGATCTTCAAGGGGTTTTGGGCTTTATCTTGAAGAACAGTTGGATGTGTGGATTTGTTGATGTTGTTGATCTAAAGGGCCGTTGGGGCTTGATCTTAGGATGAACGGATGATGAACGATGAACGCTTTTTTCAAGGGCCGTCAGGACTTGATCTTGAATTGGTGGAAGTTCTTCAAAGGATCGTTGGGGCTTGATCTTGAAGGTTGGGTTGACGAAGAATGAAGAAAGCTTTCTTGATCCTTCGGGATTTGCTTGGGAGCTTTGGAGTTTCAAAGCTTCAAGGTTTTGGTGTGAGGTGAATTGGTTATGAATTGGTCCCCCTAAAATGAATGAAATGGCTTATATTTATAGAATTTTCCAAAGCCTAATTTTGAATATATTATTTAGATGAAATAAATCGTTTCTGCCAAGTGTTGACACGTGTCATGTTTGATGACTTTTCTGATGATTCTCGATTTTTTCGTTGAGTCACCTGCTATGTGTAAAATTTATATGACAAGTGAACGTTGAAATTTTAATTATTGATCAACATTTATTTCACCGAAATTTCGATGTCTACAATCGTATTTACTAAGACAATTCATCACTTGCAATAAATTTTTAGTTTACAAGTTTTAAATAAAATGAAAACAAAAACTAAAAATGAAATGGTTAAAAAGGACCATTCAATCTAACTACTAAAATAAAACAAGACCGAGATTGTAATAAGCTGAAAAAGGAAAAAGTGTTATTAGCATACATATTTTTACCTCTTACATTATTATTACTTTTTAGTTATTGTTTTTTTTCAATTTATCCTATCCTATGACCAGATATTGAAAAAAAATATGTGAAAAGCAAAATGAGTGTGTGGATAGTAATATCCTATAAAGAGTGCACACTTACTGAAATTTATAAATAATTTGTACATGCACGTGTTATATTGTAATTTGCCTGCAACAAAAAATAATCAAACTGTAAATCCATCCCGAGTAATTTTCAGTCAAAGAAAAACTTCACAGTGGACCCACGTGGGCACTTTGGTAAATCCATCCCGTCCAGCGCCTGATATCTGTGGTTTTGTTGGTCCTCAGTGGACTCTGTGGCCAGTCATCGCTCATATGTCATATCAGGTGCTCTTGTGCCGCTGCTCCTCCTCTAACCGTTCACATACTCTCCTCTGAACAACCAAAACCCCCAATAAAAAATTCTGCTGACAAACCTTTGCATGTTCATCTTCCGCTCTCCTGCTCACCCATGGAGTCCAAAACCCTAACAGTCACGGCTCAAGGCCGCCAGCTCGCCGTCGTCAACCTCCGGTAAAAATACTCTTCCACCATTTCTTTTCGCTTTCGATGTTTACAATAAGCGTGTTTTCAGAAAAAAAAATCTATTTTTTATTTAATGTTTTGAATTTTCTGCCTTACTTTCTTGTCATCGCCTGTCTTTTCCTTCTCGGATTCTGGATTGTTGAAAATTTTACACCTTTTTGGCGTTTTTGGAACTCCGATAGTCTGATAAATGACTCTCTGGTTTCCATTTCCGACGTCGTTTGGTTCCGATTGTTTTGCTTTTTTCTTCTTTCCTGTTCCGTCTGAGTCGTGGTTTCGTATAGTCTGATAAATAATTTTTTGTTAATTTTTAATCTTTTATATTTTGAGCTGGGTCGTAGTTTCGATGAGTTTATCGGATTAAATTTTTTCTCTAAGTGGTATTAGAGCGATGGCGGGTTTTCGGGATTTCGATTATCGCCTGCGTTTCGTTGTTAATTTGGAAAGCTTTAGCTATTAATGGTGAAGTTTAGAAATTTCCAAACTTGTTGGAGCCATTAAGTTTTCTGCAAAATGTAGTGACTGCCCCCTTTGCTTCTGTGTACATAAATGGGTAATAATTATTTGAAGCTTTAAAAGGATGGTGAAGTTAGTAATTTCCAAACTTGTTGTAAAAGGATGGATTTTTGGTTTTATTAACTTAAAATTAAATACGGGACCTACTTTCTATTTTGTTCTCATATTTTTCTCCGCTTGGTTTGTAATTTGTTTTAAAAACACAGAAAGAAGTTTGGCCCCAGCAGGGTTGTATGACTTTTGACTCTGTTTGGCTGCGCAGAAAACATGTTTGTATAACCTTGACTCCGTTTGGCTGCTGAGAAAATGTAGGTAATCAAATGTTAAAAACGTAAAGTAAATGATGATTTGCTTGGCCCACCTGCATTTTGTAATTGTCTTAGTGGTTCGGTTATCTCTGTTTTATTATTTGTGATGGAAAATTTTAGCAGTTAAAGGCCTCGTTGCATACAAAGTTATCAAGTTCTGTAAATATTTTCCGTACATGTTAAATTGTAATTTTGTGATGTTATCTGTGCTGTTCAATGTTCAGGGGATTGTCGCATGCAACCAAAGCATTCCGTTTACTTATGGTTTTAGCATGCACCCTCTTTTACCTCACTACATATAGACAATGCTCTGGGAATGGTGAGATATTATCGGAATATGATTCTTGTGGATCATATGGAGATAATTTGAATGTGGCTTTTGCGGATAATTTTCTCGGTGACACCAGTTTGGGCTGTGGAGTTCCAAGAACCCACTTCAATCTTGATAAGATTTGTACTAGCTCCCGTTTATTCTGCTTTCCGTCAACATTACCTGGTTTCTTAGAGCATAAACTCAAAGTGGCTGATTTTGGAGTTTCAGGGGATCAGTCTAATGATATATCATCTATCATCTATAGGATCAACCGAAGATAGCAAGTTGGCAAATAACAAAAGTTGGTCATCAGACAATGGCGTGTTTAAGTTATTTAATGGAGGGATTGTTTCTTGTTCTCTGAACTCCAAAGAGGCTACTAATGAGTTGTCATCCATTCAAGCTGATAGCTCTAATCAAAACGATCTTTCTTCTTGTAGCGGACCTTTACTTTATCAGAAGAGCACAAATTTTAGGCCAAACAAGAACACTGAGATGACCAAATTTAGTTCTTTCACTGGTTCCCCCTCACCCTATGTAGAAATTAGCCCTGCAGTATTGGATTGGGGACAAAAGTATATGAATTTTCCATCGTTAGCTTTCTTAACTGTGGAAAATACGTGCAATGACACCATTTTACATGTTTATGAACCATTCAGTACTGACATGCAGTTCTATCCTTGCAACTTTAGCGAGACTAAGTTAGGACCTGGTGAAACAGCTTCAATTTGTTTTGTATTTTTACCTAGATGGTTGGGCTTGTCCTCTGCTCGTCTAATTTTGCAGACAAGCTCAGGTGGTTTCTTGGTTCAGGCGAAAGGTTTTGCCATAGAGTCTCCTTATGGGATTCATCCTTTATTGGACATGGATGTTTCTTCCAGGGGAAGGTGGAGTAAGAATTTGTCGTTGTTTAACTCCTTTGATCAAATTTTCAACGTGAAGGAAGTTACAGCATGGATATCAGTGTCTCTGGAGCATACTTCCCATCATGCAGAGGCAATATGTAGTACTGAGAAACTTCAAGGTTCCGATGAACTTGGGTTGCTGAGTGTTAAAGAACGTCTGGTTGTGAGTACTGGACAAGTTGGTTTGCCTCTTCTGGCCATGAGGCCCCTTATGAACTGGGAGATTGGTCCACACAGCAGTGAAACTATCATAGAAATAGACTTCTCAATTGAATCGAAAGGAAGAATTTATGGTGCAATTTGTATGCAGTTGCTAAGGCCTTCTGAGGACAAGTCTGATACTGTTATGCTTCCTTTTGAGGCTGAAGTGGATGGAACAGCAATGAATGATGATCTTGAAATACCTATCTCGGCATCTCTTGAGGTTTTGGTCCCCTATTCTGCCAATGAAACTGCTGTTGCTATATCTCTGAAGAATTCTGCTACTTACCTTTTGAGACTTCTTGAGATTACTGAAGTTGCGGATGGTAGAACCTTGCAGATTAAGTACATTGAAGGCTTACTACTTTTCCCTGGCAGCGACACATATGTTGCTGTTGTTGCTTGTACTGAGCCACTTGTCAAATTAGATGGACAATGTAAGTTACTTATACAGACAAATGACTCAAGTAGCTCTCAGATTGAAATTCCTTGCCAGGATTTTATTCATATTTGTACAAGACATTGGAATGATTCCACCATTGAATATGAACATCAGTCTGAAAGGAGTGAATCGGGTGATATGCAGACAGAGTTCTCTGAAAGTGGCATGCAGTTGCCATTACCGATCATGGTAGGCAGATTTTACTTCTCTCTGTGTATGTTTGAGTGTGTGTGTATTCTCATTTTTGTGTGAAACTGGATTAGCTTTCGAAGTTTGATTGCTGTACAGCTTGCCGTGCCTTTGTTTGTTGTCTCTTTGTCTTTTGACTAAGTGTCTCTTTGTCTTTTGACTAAGTGATCAAGAACGTTCCCTTTCATTTATTAGTATCAAACATGCATGCTCCTTAGTTATTTGCAAAAAGTATCATTCTTTCAAGGTTCCTCATCTTCAAGGCACTGGAGTCAGCAGGTGTCCACTCCATTGATCAAATAGCTTTAAAAGAGTTATAAAAGATTGCATGCCTGTCTCTACAATTTTATTGCCTAAAGGTAGAGCATACTTGTTACTATGGCTGTTATTGTGCCGTATATTTCTGAATCAGTTTAACTCTTTTTTGTGGTGTTCGAGGTTATTTAGCCATGAACTATCCATAACCAATTAACTCTTTTTTGTGTTGTTTGAGATTTTTTAGACATGAACTATCCATAACCAATTATATAACGTGTTTTTTTTTTTACCCACAAACATGAACATCCATAGTAACCAAAATGTTAATGTGATCCTATACATGAAGGCAATGGAGACAGCAGAGGCAGATGAGTTGGTGCTACGAAAATGGAAATCTCAAGATACCAGAAGTGGCGTGTCTGTGCTCACTGATCATGAGGTATTCTTCCCAATGCTTCAGGTAGGAAGTCATAACTCTAAATGGATCACTGTAAAGAATCCTAGCCAAGCGCCGGTAGTGATGCAGCTTATACTGAACTCAGGGGAGATTATTGACCGATGTAAGAGTGCGGATGGTCTTACACAGCTTCCTTCATCGGGTAGCATGGTTTGTAATGAATCCACTTCTCCAAGTAGGTATGGGTTCTCAATAGCAGAAAATGCACAAACAGAGGCTTATGTTCAACCCAATGGTAGAGCATCTCTTGGACCAGTATTGTTTCACCCTTCAAATCGATGTGATTGGAGAAGTTCGGCCCTGATAAGAAACAATCTATCTGGTGTGGAGTGGTTATCTCTGAGGGGATCTGGAGGGTTGCTATCCTTGCTTCTTCTTGAAGAGTCTGAGCCTGTTCAGAGTGTAGAATTCAACCTCAGCTTACAAATTCCTCTTGACTTTTCTCCTCCAGACATGTTTCACATGGAAAACGTCACTCATTCTTGTATACAGCCATTATCAAGGCAGCTCTATGCTAAGAATACAGGAGACTTTCCTCTGGAGATTAGAAGAATCACAGTTTCTGGAAAAGAGTGTGGGATGGATGGGTTTATGGTACAAACTTGCAAAGGTTTTACTCTTGAACCTGGAGAATCAGCAAAACTTCTGATATCGTACCTGACTGATTTTTCTGCAGCCTTGGTACAACGGGATCTTGAGCTGGCCGTGAATTCTGGTATTATGGTGATCCCCATGAAGGCAAGCATTCCTTTGCATATGATCAATATATGCAAGAAATCAGTGGTCTGGATGCGCGTCAAAAAATACTCTTCAGCAGTATTTCTGGTTGTCTCCTTGATGTTTCTAGTATTTTGGTATATATTACCCCAGGTGCCTGCCTTTTGTTCCGATGATTGTTTGTACACGAGCGGAAAAAGTTCCTTGGTTACTTCTAAAAGTAGTTCAGGAAAATCATCTCATGCGCATAATTATAGAGACAGCAGATTTTCTGTGTCTGGTGAGATAAACAGTTTGCTAAGATCAGTTCGGGAAGATAAAACCTCAATGCAGGCATCATCTGTTGGTAGATATCCCGATGACCAGGCTGGGGCCTCAGAGCGGGAAAAATTTGTTCAACATGCAGATCAAATGCTACAGGGTCATGAACAAACTAATTATTTGTCAGATACGACAAAGAACAAAGCCATGGCTTTCTCATTGACTTCTAAATCTGTGTCAGTTGAGAATCCCAATGAACTAGAAGCATCCCAACCTGGTAACCTCACAGTCAAAACTGGACAGGAAAAGGGTAGAAGGCGTAAGAAGAGAAAGGGTGCCGGTGCAAAATTCACAGGACTTTTTGAAGTTTCAAGTAGTCAAAGTGGAAATTCTACACCTTCATCACCCTTGTCTCCAGTCTCATCTGTAATACCAAAACAGACGTGGCCGCTATCTCCTGATGTGGGCCAAGCTGTTGAGGCCAGAAATCCATTTACTCAAGTGGCTCAACAACACTTCCGGAAGAGTCATGTTTTTAAATCTGCTTCTAAGGCAAACTTGTCACAGCCGGAGGTTTCTATAAAATATTGCAATAACCACCCAACTTTTGCTTCTCAAGTGCAGCCACCAGCACCAAGAAAACCTGCGGCCAGAACTGTTTTATTGCCTTCTGCCACCATTCCTGGTTCCAGTAGGCCTGCACCTAATTTGGTATGCTCATCCTCTTATCTGGCTTCAACATCCCCTATTTCTCCGCATGTTAGAGCCCCTGGGTCCAAACTCTCTGATCGGAAAAGTGCTGAAGAAGAAAAGGCTCGGCTTGGGGATGAATATACATATGATATCTGGGGTGATCATTTTCCTAGGCTAAAGTTGACGGGTAGGTCAAAGGATGTCGCTTCTATGACCTCCAGCACTACAGAAAGCGACTCCAATAGCTTCTTTGTAAAGGGTCCACAAATCCTCATGGCAAAGTCTCCACCGAGATCTGTAAGTTTTTTCCATCAAGATGGTTAACGACGAAAAAAAAAAAAAAAAAAAAATCCCAAATAAGTTATCATGTTTCTCTGCTTTCGGATCTCTCTTTAGGTCTGCTTGTCTGTAGTTTTCTTCATTCATAAGCAACATAGGAGTCCGCACTGTTGTCATACGTTAATATGAAACTGAAAAAAGTAGCCTATGCTGTAAACAATGAATAGTTTAACATGGCCTAGGAATTACAACGACCACCTTTAGCTGTTATACACTGAACTTATCAAAATGTAGAAAAAGTAAAGATGAAAATATACATTCAACACTACCAATGAGGTAAAAAGATGAAAAGGGATCAACGGATCACTCTGAACAATAAGCTTTATGTAACATGTACAGTATGCAAAGGACATGTTGCAGAAACTTATTCGAGTTTGTTTTTAGGAAACAAGAATTTGCTAGCAGGATATGTAAACGTTTTCGAGTCTCTCACTATTAATGACACACAGGCATGGGTTTGCCGAAACTTTATCGAGTACAACTCTTGAATATGTTACTCTGTTAACAGTTTGCTAAATGACTGCTCCTTGTTTATATGAGCTTGATTGTAATATTCAGAAAGATTAATGCAAGAAGAATGTGAACTTCTGCGGTCTATCGGTTCGTGAAATTACTCAAATTAGTACCTTTTTCGATAGACAATTTGTGAAATATTCAAGGGCCCCTTTGGATGTGGTCCCTAATTCTTAACATTCTTTGACTAAAACCTTAATGATATTCAGAGTTTGATCAAAGTTCCTTAACTTTGTATACCTCATTATATTACAATTAATATTTATATTTTTCTAGTTTTTACATTAATTGTTTGATATTTTATAAGATTTATAATCCTATAAATTTAAAATCTCTCATTATAATACTATTAGAAACGGTTACAATAAAAAAATTCAAACATTTTGATTGAATAAATGGATAAAAACTATGTAAAAATAAGAAATAATAAATGGCAAAAGAATGTATCCGTAGTGTTAAAAAAATTGGTACATTTCACATAAGAAATTTATAATCCTGTAAATTTAAAATAAATGGTTACAATTAGAAACGGTTACATTATAATAATGTTAGAAACGGTTACAATAAAAAAATTCAATCATTTTGATTGAATAAATGGATAAAAACTATGTAAAAATAAGAAATAAGAAATGGCAAAACAAAGTGGTACATTAATAAAGAAGAATGGGTACATTATAAATAAATTAGGGTACAGATAAAAGATTAAAAAATTATGAGTACAAATGAATTTTTAAAAAATATAGTTGCTAAAAGAAAATACTACAAATTTAAAAAAATGTTGCAAATTAAAAGTGAGTACAAACTAAAAATATAAATATATGATACAAAGTTTAGGCATAAAACATAAATATACCATATGTAATTTTTCTATCATTGATTAAATATATAATGTCACGTGACGGTATATGTCACATCCCGGCCCGGGCCCCCACAACATCCCGGGCTCGACTCCATCGTAGTACGATATTGTCTGCTTTGAGCCCCGACCATGCCCTCACGGTTTTGTTTCTAGGAACTCACATGATAACTTCCTAGTAGGTCACCCATCATGGGATTGCTCTCGCGTGCTACTCGCTTAACTTCGGAGTTCCGATGGAACCCAAAGCTAGTGAGCTCTTAAAATGTTTCATGCTAGGTAGAGATTGAAATATACATATAAGGCTTAGATGATTCACTTCTTTGGGCAATGTGGGATGTTACAATCCACCTCCCTTAGGGGTCTGACGTCATCGTCGGCATGCTACGGCCAGGGTTAGGCTTTGATACCAAATTGTCACATCCCGGCCCGGGCCCCCACCACATCCCGGACTCAACTCTACCGTAACACGATATTGTCCGTTTTGGGCCCCGACCACGCCCTCACGGTTTTGTTTCTGGAAACTCGCACGAGAACTTCCCAGTAGGTCACCCATCATGGGATTGCTCTCGCGCGCTACTCGTTCAACTTCGGAGTTCTGATGGAACCCAAAGCCAGTGAGCTCCCAAAAGGCCTTATGCTAGGTAGAGATTGAAATATACATATAAGGCTTAGAGGATCCACTTCCCTAGGCGATGTGGGATGTTACAGTATACACATGGGTACAAACACAAATAAAACTTTACAAAATATGGGCACAAAAAGAAACTAATATATGGGTACAAATTAAAAATGAAAAAAAAATGGTACAAATTAAAAATAGGTACAAACTAAAAATAAAAATATATGATAAAAAATTTAGTTATAAATATAAATATACTAATTGTAACATTTTTAACACTAAAGGAATATATTTTAAAAAAAATATTTTATTATTTCAAATAATTAATGATATTATTAATATTCAAGGACCTTGATCAAAAATTGAAAATGAATAGGATTTTAATCAATGGAGTAGCAAAAAGAAGAATGTAAACCTAATTTCAATTACTTGGATATACAACAACATTTTGGGCTTTTGAGGAGCGAGAGAATAGAATAGTTGTCATCCATATATATCTGTTGACCTTAAAAACTACCAAGCCTACGTGACGCACAGGCCGAGTAATTAATGAGCTAATTACGTCATTCGGTTGATGCAGGGCATGCCAACTCGTCGGCCGAGCTCGGTCGAGGAGTCAAATGTGTTGATGTTGCGTTGGGCGCGTGATTGACTTCTTGATTTTGCGACTGCGGCCGAGGAAGGAACATGTCTCGGCCTTTGGATTCTAGAGCCTAAAGACAAGGCTGCTAATTCTGCGAAGTTCATAAATCGTTGGCGCCGGATTCGGTCACGGTGATTATATTCGTGAAAGTATAAGCACGCCGAATCGACACCAGACTATATGGGCACAAGTACTCAAAACAAATGTACGTCTTGATTGTGAAAGTAGTTCGGCCGTCAGAATGCCGAACTCTAAAACCTACTTGTGAAAACCAATCATAAACAACTCGGCGTTCAATGTGCCGAGCCTAGTAATTCGTAACACCTCGCTTCGCCGAGAAGGCTAATGAGATGACCTCTGCCAATAAGGATTCGAAAATCCCTCTCGATTGAGACTTGGATAGATAACCAATCGGTCTCGACACAGTGCTGTTTATCCAAACTGAAGGTGTTTCGGGGTCGGCTGATTCTACGGCAACAGTGCTGTTTATCCAAACTGAAGATGTTTGCCAGTTGCCTTCACAGTGTTGTTTATCCAAACTGAAGATGTGTTGGCAGAAAAATAAAAAAAAAAATTTCAAAAGTTGATGAGATGTTTCGCGTAGAGCGAGGTTTTGCGCAGGGCAGTTGTGTGTTGAATTGGACGAGGCTTTTTTCGTTGCACAGTGCCTCTATATTTATAGGGACATATCTTTGCTTGGCATGGCCAGATAATTTTGCAGAGTTCCACTGCAACTCTAATCCGTGGAATTGAAATTGATCCACATCACTCAGAAACCAAGGCATATCCTTCAAACTGAGCTGTGGGATTTGTTCCAAGACTTTTCAAACCTAATAAAAGTCCATCTAGGCTTATCACATCACATTTCTAGCCCACCTAGGCCTCTCTTCATCAAAAACCCATCAGTAGCCATGCTTTATCAAAACACCATAGAAAATGTCCTAGCCAACTTAGGCTCCTTGTGTCATCATTATCCAAGACCATGATTTTCCTTTATCCCATTATTCCACATGGCAACCATAGAATGCTCCCTTATTATTTGTGCAAACCCGTTTGCAGCCATAGATGTAATCATTATCTTCCTTCACCATGCCTTTTACCAAAAATATAATCATTATCTTCCATCACATTTATATTTGTGCATGCAATCTTCATTATCTGATTAGTCTTTGAACTTGATCATCTTCCTGCCATACTTGGACTATATTCAAGATTTTTCCACAAAATTGCAGCAGTATGAAATCGCATCGCATTGATCAAATCACCATGACTTTATACCCAACTATGCTATAGATAATTCAATATATTATTAGAAAATAATTATTATGATAAAATCACAATATTATTTCTCAATAATAATTGAAAATCATTTCAACCACTTTGTCGTCCAACTGTTTAAAATTTTGCTCATCCAACGGGCTCGATTACTCGGGCCGATAGTGTAATTTTAGGTCCAAACAGTATCTCAGATCATATTCTTACATTTATGTGTGTTACAAATACTTATCTAACGGGCTTTACTTCACTGAAGTAAACATGTTTTAAGTGAAGCGAAGCCTGTTAAATAAATATTTGCTATGGGGTGGAAATGTCTCCATTCTGTGATGTTGGACCTTGGATTCTATACACAAAGATTAGTAATGGGTGTTGAAACATCCACATCCGGCAGAGACAGAAAAATAATGGTTTAAATATCCTAACTCCATTGAGCTTGTCTCATATTTGGGTTTCATGCTCCTTATCTCGCGTTTTTTGCTTGCTTTTACTTCTTTATGTCTTTTAATTTTCCCTCCTCCCTAGCTGTGATGGTTCATCCTCATCCCACCATGTGGTCGGATTTGCAGGCTCCGATCAGAAATTGGATATCATATCCACTTCCTAGAGACAGAGAAAAATAATGGTTTAAATATCCTAACTCCATTGAGCTTGTCTCAGATTTGGGTTTCATGCTCCTTATCTCGCGTTTTTCGCTTGCTTTTACTGTTTTATGTCTTTTAATTTTCCCTCCTCCCTCCCTAGCGGTGATGGTTCATCCTTATCCCACATATGTTCAGATTTGTAGGCTCCGATCAGAAATTGGATATCAGATCCACTTCCCTTCCTCACTTTCCCTCCCCCAACTGGCATGTCGGATCCTCATCGAGGCCAAGTGTTGTGTTGGGTATTTTATATACCCCTATCCTCACTTTACACCCATAAGATACTTTGTATATATTTGCAGGGATTCGTGAAAGGGATTTTGATCTGGTGTCTACTTTCTCGATTCGGAGTTTGGCTTTCCCCGAGGATATGACGATGTTGCATATTGAGTTGCCACTCTCATTTTGCTTGGGCCTTTTACTTTAACTGTAGTTGTTCACTTGGTTCTTTTTGGGCATTATACTAGTTTTTAATGTAATGAAAGATATCTTACTTGACTTAAAAAAAAACATTCTAACCCCACTTTAATTGAGGCCATGGGACTGTGCAGGTTGTAATTAACAAGTTGGGGACAATACTGACATTATTAGAAGTGGGCTTTCGGTTCCTCTCTCTGATAATTTGACATGGTATTAGAGTTAGGGAGGGGGTTTGTACTACCACATGATAGGTGGGTCCCTTGGCCTTGCATGTTGGGTGACTGTACTTGACTCCACGTGGTTGCCAATGTGTGGATCTCCGACGTGTGATTCACTAATTGGGTTCCACGTTAGGGAGTGTGTTGAAAAATCCCACATCGGGTAAAGACAGAGAAAAAGAAGAGTTTAAATATCATAATCCCACTATAACTAATATCAAGGGTTTTTGTGATAAAAATCAATGCCTGTCAGACTGTGCAATTGGTAATTAACAAGTTAGAGACAATATCAGTCTTATTAAAAGTGGATTTTTGGCCATCTCTTTGATGGTTTGACAATTAGTACTGGGTAGTGTGGAAGGTGATGTCTCAGTGGTTGGTGTGATATATCAAATATGCTCTTGCTTTTTCGTTCGCTTAGCACACCCTACTAGCAAATTCCTTTTTCTTCTGTCCTTTCCTACCATTATTGTGACATTGACAAACAGGTTTTTACCTTCTGTAATATTCACTCTGGTGTTTGCATTTTCCCGTGGATGTCCTCGATCGAACAGTCTAGTCACTTGACCATGCATGCCCCAAACACAGGCGTAGTTTTTTTGGCAGACATTTCGGTATGAAGATTGCAACTTTACATTCACAGTTTTCATTGCATGCAACTGCTATTCCTACGCGTCTCCTGCAACGACTGCTGTAATTTTCACATTATAGTGGCTGCCTAATGTTAGTGTGTAAATTGTGATCTGATGTGGCAGTTGGTTTCTAGCTCATATTGCTAGGATTGTGTGTATGCTTTCGTATTAAGTCTCATAGGTCTTAAACAAGTGAGTGTATATGTGTCTTCATCTCATAGGATGTAAGATGGATGGCTAGGATTGGTTGGATGTAATTTTGAATATTGCCAAGTTTAAATTGGAATTGCAATTAAGAGGAGTGTGACTTTTCCTCACTCACTCTCAGTGGAATGAAAAAGTGAAATCATTTGCAGAGTCATATTCTCTGCATTCTTCATCTCTTTCTCTCACTGCATCATCTTTTTCATTGGGTAAACAGTTTTTATTCCATAATACAGAACGTACCTGTGAGTCACAGCTCATAGGGAAGGTTAAAGTTCGTTTTTACACTAACATGGCCTCAGAGCCAAGTTGGGTCTGATTTTCTAGGCGTAGATTTTGTGAGGGTTTGTTCTAGCAACATTTCGTTGCAGAGAAAGTCAGTGAGAGTGAGAAGTGAGATCTTAGTCTAACATGGCTGGATCTGGTGGAGGAGAGCTTCGCGCTCCGATATTCAACGAAGAGAATTTCGATTTCTGGCAAATTCGAATGAAAACAATTTTCCGATCTCACGAGCTGTGAAGCATTGTTGAAATGGGTTTTCTACCTCTAGCGAAGGCGGAGGGTGAGATAGCAGAGGTGGAGATGAAATTGCATCGTGAAAATTTGGTCAAGGATGCGAGGGCTCTTGGAATCATTCAAGGAGCAGTGTCGGATCAAATTTTTCCACAAATTGCAACTCTAGAAACTGCGAAGGCAGCTTGGGATATTCTGAAGCAAGAGTTCGTAGGAGATAAACAGGTACGATCTGTGAAATTACAAGGTCTTCGTCGTGATTTTGAATATACTCGTATGGGTGAAAGTGAATCTCTAGCTGCATATTTAGCTAGGTTGTTTGATTTGATAAATTAGATGAAAAGTTATGGTGAAGATCTTAGTAATCAAAGAATTGTGCAAAAATTGTTGATCGGTTTACCTAAATCATATGATAGTATTGCTTCTGTTATTGAAAATGCTAAAGATATTGATGTAATTGATGCACAAGATGTGGTTGCCATCCTGAAAGGGTATGAATTGAGATTAACTAGGCATGAAGAGAATAGCACTGAACGTGCATTTTCTAGCTTAGATATTTCATCTAAGAACAGTAAAGTTGGTAATCAGTTTACCAATACTGGTGGATCGAAATCTCAGAAGAACTTTAAGTTCAAAGGGAAGCAGTGGACTAACAAGTTCACTCCGAGTGTCAGAAATGAAGCAAATAACTCTGGAGGTGCTTGTAAATATTGTGATAAACTTCACTATGGAGAATGTTGGTTAAAAGGGAAGATTAAATGTCACAAGTGTGGGAAACTTGGTCATATTGCCAGAGTTTGTAATCTCAACAAGAATGTCCAGCAAGGAAATTTTGCAAACAAAGTGGTAGAACAAAAGAACTTTGCAAATAAAATGGGAGAACATGGAAATCTGTTTATGGTTAAGCAATCAACTGAAGTGAAGACTGTGAGTGATGCCTGGTATATAGACAGTGCGCGCAGTAACCATATGACTTCCAGAGATGAGTTACTTGTGGAAATTGATAGAAGTATTAAGGCAAAAGTGCAAGTTGGCACAAGGGTTCTTGTTGATGTGAAAGGCAAAGGAACTTTAGTCATTGACACTGATAAAGGGAAAAGGTACATAAGAGAAGTTATGTTGGTACCTGGAATTACAGAGAATCTACTCAGTGTTGGGTAGATGACTGAACATGGGTATTTTCTGGTATTTGGTGATTATAAGGTGGATATTTTTTATGAAAGAACTTTGACAAATTTAGTGGTTAGTGTGAAGCAAAAGGGGAACAAATGCTTTCCACTTGTGTTCAAATCAAACGATCACTTGGTACTGAAAACCAATGTGCATCAGAGTAGTACAATGTGGCATAAACGGTTTGGTCACCTAAATTATAGGAGTCTGCAACAATTGCAGGAGCATGATATGGTTCTTGGGTTACCTGAAATGCATGACAGTGAAGGTGTATGTCAGGAATGTGCATTTGGTAAGAATCATAGAGTGTCATTTCCAAGGGAGTCAGTTTGGAGAGCAAGAATGCCATTGGAACTCATACACTCAGATGTGTGTGGCCTTATGCAAACACCAACCATGAGTGGAAACAGATACTTTGTTACATTCATTGATGATTATTCGAGAATGTGTTGGATAAATCTCTTGAGACACAAGTCAGATGTCTTTCATGTATTCAAGAAATTCAAAGCTATGGTGGAACTTCAAAGTGGCTTTTCTGTGAAGAAAATGAGAACAGATAGAGGAGGAGAATTCATCTCAAATGAGTTTGAACAGTTTTGTGAAGCTCTGGGTTTGGAGAGGCAGCTTACTGTTGCATACTCTCCACAACAGAATGAAGTTGCAGAGAGGAAAAACAGAACTATAGTGGAGATGGAAAAGTGTATGCTTCATGAGAAAGGTCTTCCTTATAGTCTTTGGGGTGAAGTTGTGGTTACATCTGTCTATTTGCTCAACAGATGTCCTACAAAAGCTTTGGAACATGTGACACCTTTTGAGAAATTCAGTGGAAGAAAACCTGGAATTAAACACTTGAGAGTGTTTGGTTCATTAGGTTATTCTCTTATTCCAGAAAATCTGAGACATAAGTTGGATGAAACAAGTGTCATTGGTATTTTTATTGGATATGGCACTTATGAAAAAGGGTACATATTACTTAATCCTGAAACTCAGAAAGTAATTCTTTCAAGAGATGTTATTTTTGATGAGAATGGTAAATGAGATTGGGATAAACAGAAGATCAAAGAAGTGTACATTCCATTTGCTGCAAGTGAATCTCCAGAGATGAAAAAAGCTGATGAGGATTCTAATTTCATGGAACAAGTTGTTACTGAAGGTTCTCAGACTCAAATTACAGATTCTCCATTCATTGAGTCTGGAAGTGCTAGTGACTCAATTTCTACACCTCAGGTTGATCATACTTCTCTGAGATATAGAAATTTGAGTGAAATCTATGAAAGATGTCATGTGTGTATTGTTGAACCAGAATCCTATTATGAAGCTGCACAGGATGAAGCATGGAAGAAAGCCATGGAAGATGAAATTAGCATGATTGAGAAAAATAAGACTTGGGAATTAGTGAAAAGACCATCTGATAAACCTGTGATTGGTGTGAAATGGGTGTACAAAACTAAATTGAATCTGGATGGATCAGTTCAAAAGAACAAGGCTAGGCTTGTTGCAAAAGGCTATGCACAAAAGCCCGAAATTGATTATAATGAAACCTTTGCACCTGTTGCAAGGTTGGATACAATCAGAACATTAATTGCACTGGCAGCAAAGAACAAATGGAAGCTGTTTCAATTGGATGTAAAATCGGCATTCTTGAATGGTGTGCTAGAAGAGGAAGTGTATGTCAATCAGCCAGATGGGTTTATTGTACAGGGAGAGGAAGATAAGGTCTACAGGTGACATAAAGCACTGTATGGTCTGAAGCAGGCACCAAGGGCCTGGTATGGTGAAATAGACTCATATCTTACACTCTGTGGGTTTAAGAAAAGCACCAGCGAAGCAACTTTGTATACCAAGTGGAGGAAAGATTCAGAAATGATTATAGTATCCATTTATGTTAATGATATAATATACACTGGAAGTTGTCAGGAATTGATGGATGTTTTTAAATCTGATATGATGCTCAAATATGAGATGACTGATCTTGGACTCTTACATCACTTTCTTGGTATGGGAGTAATGCAAACTGAGGAGTATATTTTCATTCATCAGAGAAAGTATGCTTCCTCTCTACTGAAGAAATTTGGACTTCAAGATTGTAAGTCAGTGAGTACTCCATTGGTTCCAGGTGATAAATTGAGAAAAGAAGATGGAAGTGGGACTGCAGATGAAGCTCAATATAGACAAATTGTAGGCAGTTTGCTGTATCTCACAGCAACTAGACCTGATATAATGTATGCTGCATGTCTGCTTTCATGGTTTATGCACTATCCAACCAACAAGCACTTTGGGACAACAAAGAGAGTACTAAGATATGTTCGAGGAACTCTTGATTTTGGCTTGGAATACAAGAAAGGTGAAGGGGCAATCTTAGTGGGATTTTGTGACAGTGACTAGAGCGGTTCTGAAGATGATATGAAAAGTACATCTGGATATGCCTTTACGTTTGGCAGTGGAATTTTCTCTTGGTCTTCAGTCAAGCAACAATGTGTTGCGTCATCCACAGCTGAAGCAGAGTACATTAGTGCATCTGAAGCAACTGCACATGCTACTTGGTTGAGATTTGTTCTGGAGGACTTTGGTGAAATGCAAACAGTTGCAACACAAATGAATTGTGACAATACTTCAGCCATAGCTATCACTAAAAATCTTATTTTTCATCAGAAGACCAAGCATATCAACAGGAGATACCATTTCATAAAGGAAGCACTGCAGCAAGGAGTAATTGAGCTGTTGCACTGTCCTACGAAAGAGCAAATTGCTGATATTTTTACAAAGGCATTGGCAAGGGAACAATTCAGTTATCTGAGGGAACTTCTTGGAGTTAAATAAGTCCACAATTTAAAGGGGGTTGTTAGTGTGTAAATTGTGATCTGATGTGGCAGTTGGTTTCTAGCTCATATTGCTAGGATTGTGTGTATGCTTTCGTATTAAGTCTCATAGGTCTTAAACAAGTGAGTGTATATGTGTCTTCATCTCATAGGATGTAAGATGGATGGCTAGGATTGGTTGGATGTAATTTTGAATACTGCCAAGTTTAAATTGTAATTGCAATTAAGAGGAGTGTGACTTTTCCTCACTCACTCTCAATGAAACAGTGAAATCATTTGCAGAGTCATATTCTCTGCATTCTTCATCTCTTTCTCTCACTGCATCATCTTCTTCATTGGTGTAAATAGTTTTTATTCCATAATACAGAACGTACCTATGAGTCACAGCTCACAGGGAAGGTTAAAGTTCGTTTTTACACTAACACCTAATCAGGGCAGTGCATGCAACTACTGTTCCTACATCGTCATTAAAATTAGAGGATGGATACAGATAAGGACTTCCAGTCGAGCGGTAGCTCGTGCGTGCCTGCCAGCAACGGAGTAGTAGTAGTAGTATATTTACCCCGAGAGCTGCCATAACTACATGCTGCACCTAAACAGTGACCTTGCTGATCAGTTGC